GGGATTGAAGTGAACGACAACTGCTAATAGTCAGGGGATTGAAGTGAACGACAACTGCTAATAGTCAGGGGATTGAAGTGAACGACAACTGCTACTAGTAAGGGGATTGAAGTGAACGACAACTGCTACTAGTCAGGGGATTGAATTGAATGACAACTGCTACTAGTCAGGGGATTGAAGCGAACGACAACTGCTAATAGTAAGGGGAATGAAGTGAACGACAACTGCTACTAGTCAGGGGATTGAAGCGAACGACAACTGCTACTAGTCAGGGGAATGAAGCAAACGACAACTGCTACTAGTCAGGGGATTGAATTGAATGACAACTGCTACTAGTCAGGGGATTGAAGCGAACGACAACTGCTACTAGTCAGGGGATTGAAGCGAACGACAACTGCTAATAGTCAGGGGATTGAAGCGAACGACAACTGCTACTAGTCAGGGGATTGAAGCGAACGACAACTGCTACTAGTCAGGGGATTGAAGTGAAAGACAACTGCTACTAGTCAGGGGATTGAAGTGAACGACAACTGCTACTAGTCAGGGGATTAAAGTGAACAACAACTGCCACCAGTCAGGGGATTGAAGCGAACGACAACTGCTACTAGTCAGGGGATTGAAGTGAACGACAACTGCTACTAGTCAGGGGATTGAAGCGAACGACAACTGCTACTAGTCAGGGGATTGAAGCGAACAACAAATGCTACTAGTCAGGGGAATGAAGTGAACGACAACTGCTACTAGTCAGGGGATTGAAGCGAACGACAACTGCTACTAGTCAGGGGATTGAAGTGAACGACAACTGCTACTAGTCAGGGGATTGAAGCGAACAACAACTGCTACTAGTCAGGGGATTGAAGCGAACAACAAATGCTACTAGTCAGGGGAATGAAGTGAACGACAACTGCTACTAGTCAGGGGATTGAAGCGAACGACAACTGCTACTAGTCAGGGGATTGAAGTGAAAGACAACTGCTACTAGTCAGGGGATTGAAGTGAACGACAACTGCTAATAGTCAGGGGATTGAAGTGAACGACAACTGCTACTAGTCAGGGGATTGAAGCGAACGACAACTGCTACTAGTAAGGGGATTGAAGTGAACGACAACTGCTAATAGTCAGGGGATTGAAGTGAACGACAACTGCTATTTGTCAGGGGATTGAAGCGAACGACAACTGCTAATAGTCAGGGGATTGAATTGAATGACAACTGCTACTAGTCAGGGGATTGAAGTGAACGAGAACTGCTACTAGTCAGGGGATTGAAGCGAACGACAACTGCTACTAGTCAGGGGATTGAAGCGAACGACAACTGCTACTAGTCAGGGGATTGAAGCGAACGACAACTGCTACTAGTCAGGGGATTGAAGCGAACAACAAATGCTACTAGTCAGGGGATAGTTCTTTTGCAAAAGCGAAAGTAATATTTTCATGTGCTTAGAATTGCGTTTTATGTATTCAATTGGACGCCAAACCATTTTCATTTCATATTGTATTCGTTGTACAGAAATCCCCTTAGCTTACAAACCTAATACGAGGAATGCATTGCCAGCCCCCTGAGCCCCCCCCTTGTTAATGATGAAGAGTAGCCAATTTCTACTTTTGCTCCTATCTGGCAACATTTTCCACAAGACAGCATGCGTTGTTATTTTGAGATCACTGCACCTTTGCTTAATATTTAATAAGAAATTGAAATCAAAATTAAATGCATACATTCAAGTTAAAGCAGAAATCATGAATAGTAACTCATCTACACAGCAGCTACAAATAGAGTTATGCTTTAAGCTGTTTCGAGCTCATAATATAACATTAAGTTGCTTTTTGAATTCATTAAAGGGTCATTCGATGTCAGTTCACCAGATAAAAAAGAATACACCAATTTGACTTACGACCTCGTTTTAGAATTTTCTTCAGACTTAATTATACGACTTTTTTAAGCGGAATACAATTTTCATATGGTTTGAGCCTATATTTTAGATTTTACGGAGAAATGAAGTTTGAAAACTTGCAAGAGATTTGACTGGAAAAATAGTTTAGGGGGGAAACTTAACCCCCCCCCCCCAGTTGCCAATCACGGTCAAATCCCTTATAAAGATTTTCATCTTTATGTCGTTATAAAATCAATATCATGGGCAATACCATAATGAAAACTTCCAAGTATATTTAAATCATTGCTCTCAATCCGAATCTGAGGTCAAAAATTTTGTACAAAAGAATTTGAAGAACTTTTCAAAATAAGGCCGTAAGTCGAATTGGTGTATTGACACCCACCATCTTAGATTATCTTCATTTTCATTTTGCAAATAAATCCTGTCTAGAAATATGGTTTTCCACAGTTTCACGTCACCATCTTTTACAATGGCTGGAATATCTTTATTTCAAATTTAGTCATGACAGACAGAAGATGGTTTTTCTTGAAAGGGATGCTAAAACATGTCTGGTTTCCTATCGTGTGCTACTTAAAGCTGGTTAAAAGTTAAAGTTCTTTTGCAAAATTCAGAACAACCTGCAAGACACTTATAGGCTTTAAACCGAACAATCATTCGAAAGTAAGTCACTCACTGTTTATCAAGTCTTTCCATTATTAGCCTCTGCGATGTTTCACTACCGACCTCAACAACAGCAAATCTGAAATGGAATTAATAAACAAATAACTTGATGTTACATGACAATATTATCTTTAGATACAACCTGTGCCTATCAAATAACTCAAGCAAGCAGCAAAATATTAGAACTGCAGCTTTAAAATAAAGAAAGGCTTTGGTACTACAATATATCTTTTATATTGAACAAAGTATATTCTGCATTTGCAAACATATACTGCTGTTTGCAGGCGAGTATCATGCACTTATAACTGAGTAAACAAATTTGATGACTTTGCTAGATATATGCAATAAAATAACAGCAAATTAGCTACATATTAGCGTAAATGATAGAATAGCAGGCCCTTTGTTATTTATTACCCGCATCAATAATAGGTTATGATCGCCTAGCATAGCGTGAGGGCTGAACGATGCAATACAGCAAACACAAAAATGGATACCAATAGCATGAAACTTTTTTAGAGTAATCCTTTGCCACGATACATATCTTTAATGCAAAAATACAATCTTTTGATTCCACTGACAAGAAAGATTGAAACCTTGTTATATTGTTCTTTTTTTGTGTTGTGTAGTGTTTCAATGCCTTTCCTTAAAATTCTTACTTAATTACCTGCATTTGGTATGGTAAGTTTGGATAACATCGGCCTAAACATATTTGTGTGTGTCTTTAACACTGGTCAGGGTTAGTTATAAGGAGGGTATACATGCATACAAATGCAGCAACTATAGAAAAAGTTCAGAATACCGTAATAAAAAACTGCATCAACTGACAGACTGCAGTTGATCAGAAGCACCAGTAAATGAACATGCATTGAACAGTGATTACACAACAACTGCAAATGACTTCACTGAACACAAATATGTAATTTTCTCCAAAGCGAAGCAGTATGCTTACAAACTAGTCATTGTCTTAGGGACTTTACTAAGAACAATCACACATTATACAGATTCAGCTTTTATAGAAACCTCTCACTGCCTCGATAACTGTTACAAGGAAATCTTAATTTGCAAGCAATGGGCTAAAACATATAATTGCTCCATCCACATAAGTTTATACAAGTATCTGCTATAGGCGTGAGAACTAAAATATGAAATCTGTTTACATATGGAATAAATCATCAAATTTACAGACAACACTAAAATGCTAAACTACAATAAAATATTTAGCCAAATACAACGCCAGACCACCCGAAGGTTAAAATTTACAACCTTTCACAATTAATACTTTCACAATTATGAAACCAAATGGTTTTTACAAATAATAATACTATGCAGAAAAAAACTCTATAGATTTCTGCTACAGGAAATAACAAAAAAAAAATAAATTTAAACTTATCTTTAAAATTCAAGTTGCTACAAAGGGAGATAGCAAAACAAGCTTAAAATATATCTGAATAAAAATAAATTTATAATACATTTCTATAAAAAAATTTTCTTATAAGAATTACGAAGAGTGTAACAAAACGTTTTGAGAAGAAACAAATTATCAACATGCAGGCAAAGTATTAAAACTTTTGAGATTTTTACAGGAATCTGAAAACTGGCCTTTGTTGTTATATGTTTTAGTAACAATTTCTTCTTATCTTCGTAGTTAGGTAAGCTGAAAGGGTAGCTGTTTTAGAATTAGTTTTAACCAGAACGTATTTGTTACACTCTTCTCCTTCTTCACATTGATAAAAAAGATGATCCAATGTATTGCGGAGCATCCCTGAGAACCATACGAAGGAGACCATCTCCTTACCTTCAATCTGTTCAACAAGTCAAAAACAACAAATGAATAAAAACACAAAACATCTTAAACAGAATTGGTGCAATTTTAAACGAACAGAATGATAGAAAAGACATGTTGTATAATTAAGAAGAGCGTGCAAGTCTATGTTGTATAATGTTTAGAGGTTTGTAAGCCTTACAATTTTGTTGGGTCTCCAGGAATGTCAAACTAATAAAAGTTTTAAAGGGACCTATTTAAATACTATTAATACTTCATTTTAATGAAAAAGATAACTAGTAAGTGTTTAGAAAGGTAAAGAATTTATGGCAGAAGAAGAATTGAACTTCACTGCAATTAAATTGCTCCAAAATTTCTAATCAGAATCCTAAACCTGGCCACACATCTTTAAAGGCAAATAAACAGAAACAATTCCCACTTCTGGATAAATTCTTGATCTAGTCAATGAATGTCAAGACAATAACAAAGTAAATGCAAGCTCGATAATGATACTAACTAAAATTAAATTTGGTACTCACCCTTTTGACTGTCCATTGGCCCTATTTTCAAAAAATTTTATATTGACCAGATCTGTAACACCACATTCCTGTATTGAACTTGCCAGCTCCTCATCTGTTGTCCACTTTTGGTGAAAATTACAAAGTAAACAAGCCATGGGTTATTTGAATTAATGACCAAGTTGTAAAATGGATAGCAACACGAATGCTGCGATTTTTGAAGGGGATAATCTTTAAATATTGTTTTCTTTTGAGTTTTGAGGAAATTTAACACAATTAACGGCATCTGTGGCAACTATGGGAAACACATCAGCCTTTGTTGCAACACTGTGTTGGAAGCATAAAGATGTTATTTCATTTGTCTTTATTTTGTTTGGCCTAGCACCTGTGACTAGATCCACTAGCAGTCTTTGTAGAAAATTAAGGGAAACAGTCTCACTTAAACCTTGAGCACAATTGAAAAAATTTGAGCAGTGACAGAACAGAGACAGAGAAATGACTATAAAGAAATCAAAATAATGACTTAACAACTGGCTGTGAGTTGAAAACACTGAAAGTCAAGAAAAAGCTTCAATGGCAACTAATCCTTATTGCATAACATCGATTTGAAAAAGCCAGCTTATTAAACTGTCAAGTAACCAATTTGAAGACAAATAATGAAAAACTTATTTTTTCCTATGGAGGAAGTTTGCATTGGATAAATGTACTTTGCTGTTATTAAGAATCAACAAATGGAGGAATGAGTTTGGCAACTTTGTTCAACAGCGTTTGTCACACATTGACGATGAAAGCAAATTTCTCCAAACTTTACTGTACAGCTCTATTAAGCTCAGATTTGGTTATATCACCATAATTTTAGGCCGGATACAACTTTTCACATTGTTTGTGCTTGTACTTTAGATTTTAGGGAGAAATAAAGTTTGAAAACTTGTAAGGGATCTGACCGCAAAAATCTTTCCAGGTGAAACTTTACCCCATTAGTCACCAATCACAATCAAACTCCTTATAAAATTTTTATCATTATGTCATAGCAAAATCAATATCGTGATTAATAACATAACCAAAACTTCCAAGTAAACTGAAAATCTTGCTGTCAATCTGAATCTTAGGTCAAAAATTTTATACAAAAAAACTTAAAGAATTTCTCAAAATGAGGCTGTAAGTTGAATTGGTGTATAGCAAAGAAAGTGGAAATTTTCACTGTCATCCCAATACACCTAATGGTCCTTCTGTATAAGAGAGATCTTTAAAAAAAACCCAGGAAAACAATATTTTTACACTTCAAAAAAGTGCTAAAAATATGCCAACAAAGTTTGCTAAATAGATGGGTTTATGCATGGATTTTCATTAAGGATAGCTAAAATTTGACTTTAAAACTTTGACAAGCGAATCAAGACGGTAATAAAATACAAGCCATGACAAAAATTGGAATTCAAGTTTATGGTACTATTTTTTAAAATACGTTATCCAAATGCTCTGCACTTGATGGTTGTTTAAAGGGCTGTATCATGGCTTTGTAAACATTGCAAAAACATGATACATTGTTCATTTTCTACCTAATTTACTAATGGTTGAAACTTTTTGATAAACATTATCAACTGAGGTTAGTTACTGCACAAAATAATTGAAATAGCATTTTGTTGAAGCAAGTTTGGAAGTTCATGACTAACATAACTATTTACTAAATTTATTCATTATAAACCACAACTACAGCAAGGGCTTTTTTGAAAACATGTACTTACAGAAAACTAAGCTTGGCAAATAACAATGATGCCCAAATAAAAACTATTGACCAGAAAGTTTGGTTTGAAAACTCAGTGGGCAGTAGACAACTGACAATGTGACGTAAAATTGAACCACCTAACAGTACTATTCGTATTCTTTAGTATAACAAAACTAATAAAGGTTGAGTAGAATTGTGAATAAAAGTGAACTCACCCAAGTTAAATTGCCAACATAGAGAGCTTTTCCTTTGTCATTAGACTTTGAGTAAAGACTGGCAGCAATTTTTGCTTCTTTTTCCTGCTGAAGGGCTGACTTTGGGTGCAGCGTTGTGTATGATTTGTACTCTTTCCCACCTTCAAATATCAATCAATTTTTACATAGAAACTAACTCAACTGAGCTAATAATTAGCAAAGCACACAGCATTAATAAATTGTAAAGGAACTTTCTCAATTTAAAATGTGGATTCAAATTACAATTAGATAAAAGATTTTCTTAAGCAAGGGCTTTTAAGTATTTCAGTGTCTTATATCTTATTTGATATACAAAAAATGACAGTACATAAAAAAGTACAAGATATAATTATTTAGCTATTAATTTATAAATTCCTTTCTTGTCAAATTGGAGATTTCATTCATAAGGGAAACTCTAACAGTATCTCTTTTACAGTGGGTGCAGAAAATATCGGGTCACTGATATAAAGAGATGATAAGGATATTATTTTTAGGGAATGTCGTCTTTAAAATAGTTTATATGTTCAGGCCTAAAAAACCTTTAAATAAAATATGTTCAACAACAGTTAAATTCAAACTTACTGGAAACGGACTCTTCCGGAAAGGTCTAAAATGAAATATGACAATGTGAAAACAGCAAAGATTTAAAATAAAATCTATAATCACATTTAAAAGCATGCTCTTGAATGGATAAAATATATTCCTCTTTCAAAGGATAATGCATATTACTGGAATCATCCTGATCATATAACCTACTTTTTAACTTTTGAAAACATGGAACAGAATGAAGCATATATGAGCACTGAGCATTTTTATGTAATGTAATTTTTTGGTTTTGACTGTTCATAATGCTCCATTTTTGTAAATTTGTTTGGGGCCTTTTCAAAAACCCCTGGTTTTTATGCAGTCACATTGTTGACAGAAACAGAGTAAAAATGCTGTTTTGTGGTTATTACAATTCACACTGCCTTCGTTTTTTTGTAAATCTGTTTGAGGCATTTTCAAAAACCCTTGCTTTTGTATGTTCACCGTGATCTAGCGTGTTTTCAAAAAACCTCCAAAAGCCTCCATTTTAAGAATGGAATTAACAGAGGGGAAGCCAAAACTATATTTTCGGAGTGGTACAGAAATGGTTTTTGCCAACAAACTTATCTCACTCTTCAAGGGTGTGGACATCAGATGAATAATCTTATATGCTGCTTTTATGTGTTTCTATTATAAAATTCATACGTTAATGCCATTCAACTACTACAGAAATCTTAATAAAATACAATTGTTGCAAAAAGCTTACAGGTTGACAAAAAAATTCTTCTTTTGCCAGTCAAAAATCTTTTCTTTGCCGACAAAGTGTTGATGAGGGGAGGGGGGGTGTACAGTACAGCATACTTTATTTCAGAACATTTTTGTATCCTAGGGTGTGGCTCTTAGAATAAAGGGTGTATTTAAAATGCCCTTAAACTCCTGTGATCAGGCCTTGCTCTAAGCAAAATGAAGATGCTACAGAAAAAGAGCCCCTTAGAAACTCTAGGGGCTCTACGCATCTCTAAATAAAATGTCCTTGAGAGCATCCTTTGAGAGCTTTGGAAGATTGAGAGCTTCATATCGAAAGCTTGGGAAGAGTGTTAAATAAGAAATTCAACTGTAATCTTCTGCAAATAATTATATTGCGGTCTGTTGTGAAAATTGTTTATGCTTGATCAAGTCTATTCAACAAAGGCCAAAAAATTATTTTGCTCCGTGGTAATATTGTTTTTACATTTAGAGGGGCTCTATAAATCGCTCTCCAAGGCTACTTTTGGGCGCGCTCTAGGCATGCGCGCTCGATCAAGCGCTGTTCCAGGCAAGGCCTGTGTGCCTCCTCCTTCCAAATGCTTCCTACATCCTTGGTCTAGTGAAAGACGTATCTGATCAATCTTACAATCATCTTTATTCCCAGGTAACATGTTTGAAAGCAAAAATTTCTGAGTATTCTCAAAAAGACAGTTTACAGTAAAAAATTTAAACAATGCAAAATGACACAAAAAATTCAAAATCACCACAAAATGATACAGAAAAGTCGAAGTATTTAATAACAACCTGTGGAGTACTATTCGAGCCCTGCTGCTGATTCATGACATCATCATAAAGATCTGGTGCATATGCACCTTCTGGTCCCTCAGCCTGAAAAAAATAAAAGTTTCTGAGCATAATGTGTGCAATAGAGTTCTAAAGTGTGACTTCACCAAACACCTTAAGCATTTTTGAATTTTAACCAAATAACATAAATATTCAAAATTAGTGTTGAGTATTCAATACTCAAAATGGTTGAGATATTGCCAATGAAAATTTTGAAATTTGCCAACAAATCACTGTTATGTTAAAGTTATGAACAGAGACCAAAATACAGAGGTTTGACAGGGAAAGAGGCAAAACACATGTGACTATATCTCAGTCAATTCGTAACACATTTGGCTGATTTTGCACATTTAGAGGTATTGCATTATGCACTTTCAGGCCATGGGATCCAAATCAAAAAATTCACAAAATTGATTTTTTGTGATTTTATCATTTTACAACTCTATATATATATAGAGCTATTTATGACAACTGAATAATCTCATACAACAAAGAAATCTAATTCCATTCAATTTCAATTAGCACTGAGCTGTGATCAAGGACATAATTGCATAGAATGGGTGGCAACAAACGGAAATTCTTCCATGACTGGGTGTCTCTTTATTGACTTTCATTCTCTTTAATTTTACTGCATTAAATATGTTATGGACTGGCAACAAACATTATTTTTGGGAATCAATCTTTCCCTCCTGTCTAGTAAAGGCAGGAGGACAGAATTCTTTCATCACATTTGGAATATTTGATGAACAGCCTTAATGTAAAAACAAATAAGAAAAACTTGAAAAATAAGGGTTAAGGTTCAATATTTCTGTTCAAAACAAGAAAAATTGGAAATTCACTACACTTACTCTACCAATCAGAAAGTTCAATTTCCTAATGGAAAATATCAGTGTCATCAAACCATGCTCTTATTGTAATCCTCTGATCAAAAGCTGTTGATTAGGATGTAATCAAAAGCTATCAGTACCACCATTCTTATTTGTTCTTAACCATTCTCTATCATCAAAGGCTTAACACGTATAAGACACAGGGGGCTCTCAAGTAGTAATACTTCTTCACAGCCATATTTGTGGCAGTGAGCAAAGTCAGTAGAGTCAGTAGAATCAATGTTGATTAGTTTGATTGATAATCTGATCCAGAGAAAAATTTCGTTTTTTTGTCAAATGCTCTCCATTGATGTTGATTGGAAGGTCATTTAATGTTGCAGCTATTGTGTTTAGCGTGAAGCCTATTAAAGACTTTGCTGTCACATTTGAGAAGAAGAAAAACACTTTTGATGAAATATTGCTAGAATAACTCACCAATTTGGAGTAACTGAGCATGAAAGTTTTTTCATTGAGTGTAAATTCTTAGAACTTTTTTGCTCCTGAAAATTAACAACTATTATGATGTCAAATGTGATCACTGGATCAGACACCTCATCGGAAAACAGTATGGAAAGCCCGTTTGTAATATTGTAATTTATATCTTTTTAGCTTCAGTCTGGCAAGTTTAGCAATACATTAACTGCAATGCCAAGGACTGCTCATCATTTATTTAGGTAATGAAATGTAGGCTACAAAGCAATAGCTGAAATGCTGATACCTTTGCAAAAAAATGTTGACAAAGAATAAGCCACACGAGGTTCCAATTGGCACAAGGTTAGGGTAATTGTTTTTAGTTTTCTCTCCCCAAAAGCCAAACTTTTAACGGAATTAAACTATACATCATTTGACGTACAATAACGTGGTGATTGCCACCATATCAAAATAATTGGCAAATATTGAAAATTATACTTTCCAAGTATATTTAATGCTTAAATGAGTGTAACACCTTCAAAAGCTATTTTGTACCCTTGCGTTTTGAGGTAACAAAATCTGACTTATATCACCAGAAAGCGCAGATCTTAAGCTACCAAAGTATGTCTCAGATTTTTCAATTTCCTTCTCCTCTTGAATCTATACCCTGTCAAAAATTTGTATTCAATTTTTCTACCCTCCTGTAGTTGTATTTGGCTAAAAAAGATGGACCAGAGCAATTATGCAAAAAATTTTGATACACCCATTACTTAACAGACATTGGTCTTAGCCTTAACTGCAGGCCTTGAAAACAATTTTTCTTCCTGGCAGCAATTCAAGATTTCCTGCGAAGCTTCGAGAAAGTTTCCAGCCACTGAAATTGATATTTCAAGTTGCTTGATTTGTTTAAAAATTTGTCCTAAAAACAAACTGTCACACTAAAAAAAGCTAATTGTTAGTCCTGCAGTCTTGATTATAGCTATTCGAACAGGAATCAGTTTGTTTATACTGTATAAGATGATCAAGGAGAATGTGATCAAGCAAGATACTCATAGTTTGTTTTCAAGGTGAGAAAGTAGATCTGAAAATCTTTAACAACTTTGATTAAATTTCATATCAGTACTAGCAAACTAGATACTTTATAAGTATTGATATATCTATACATCCTGCCCTGGGTGGGTTCATCATCAAAGCTAGTAGTTCATACAACATGTAAGAAAACTATTCTATTTTTCAATGGTTAAAATAAATGTTTTAAATCAGGGGTGGTGCTAGAGGCAAAGATTTAAGACCAAAACGCTTACATTCTATAAAGCAAGTGATGAAAAATATATGTGAATGCCAGTAGAATGTCTTTAAGTGGTTTTACATATTTAGAATGGCTAATAATGTCAAAAAAGGAATGAACTTTGTTTTAGCTTGCTGGAATTAAATTAGCAGCTGAAAATCATGCACAGAAATTTGGCATAACAGATGCTTATAATACCAGATGATTGAAAGCTAATCTTCGTTTTTTTGTTAGTAGTGCAGTACAAAAATTATACAGTATGTATATATCAGTATTTACAGTATGTATGTATATCACAAGAAAACAGCATTCCATAGAAATATTGTAAAATGAATTTAATGTTCATATTAAAATCAAGCAATGGAGATTTCACGCTAAAAATTTCTTGACAAACACCAACAATTTCCTGCAATGAATTTGCACCAAGAATTTCCTGGCAGCACCGCTGCCGACGCTGCAGGACATCTTCCAGCCCTGCTTATTTGGTCAAGAGATTTTCAGACCTCAACTTAAAACTGCCATGAAGAAATTATGGAAACCTTTGTTTCCATTGAAATTCTTTCTTTTTCAAAATTTCTGCTATTCAAATACAGTTTCATTGTGTGCCTTGAGAGTTTGGCTAGTAGAGTGTGAAGAAATAAAAAAAAGTTCTTTTCGCCCAGAAAAAGTTTACCCTAACCTTAAGCTGTGAATGTTTTGAAAGTTGGTTGAAAAAACTAAATTGCAATAACCAAAAGCAACTTCTTGTTTATGAGAGATGGAATTTGAAATGGATCCTCTTGACCTAGGCACAAAGCAATTCGGTATCCATTACCCCCAAGCCACTCTGTTTTGTTAAAAAATGAAGGTGTTTCCATAACTCTATTTTTATCAGTTCTCATTTCCTTTTGTTTGAGCTCTTTTTGCAACTGAGAATGAATGCTTGTGATTACCAGCATGCCTACAATTGTCATATTACCAAAACTGCACACACAATATTTTTTTCATGCATGCAACTCGCATACTTACATATCTGGCTATTTTAGACCCCTTTACACTGTGTCTATGATATATTTTTTATTGGATCTACGTTTTGATATTTTAAACTCCGAAGAATGTCAAAGGAAAAGCATTAGTAACATGTTTCAAAATGTTTGCATTTTTAAAAGCCATAATCAAATTTTTACCACAAAAAGATTGTTTGCAATTGATTTCTGTTTAATTGACTGGGTGGGTTTCATATCACACTGTAATTCAATAATAAAAAAACAAATAAAGACAAAATCTGAAATGATAGTTGGCTAAAATTAAAGCATATCTTCCAGATTATAGACTAATGGCATTGATTTTTGACTCGAGAAATGTATATCGACCAAGCATTTTTGTTAATAGGGTTTCACTCAACAGCAAATTCAAGAAGTCAGAAGTTGCGATTTGGCCTTACTCTACTTATCTTTGAGGAGCGAGCTGCAAAATAATTGGGTTTCTGCCATTATAGCTGCGAGTTGGGACCCTAAACGTTGAATGCAACTGCGAGTTTTGCCAGTTGGCCAACCTGGACCCAAATTCAATTCAATTCAAATATTTAATTTCACAACAATTCGTTACATATGATTTAAACATCGAGAAAATATAAAGCTACTGCTAGATATAAATGACTAAATAACAGGAAATATATATATTTACATATTAATTTCATAACAGTAACTATTACAAAATGAAAGCTATCGTGTAGGACAAGAAGAAAAAACTCAAACTTACAAACTTCAAAGCAAACTTACTTGGTTTGCAGGGTTGCCGAATTCATCAACACCAGCATACAGGTCTACATCTCCTTGCTGTGTGACATCAGATGATTGTGGCGGTACAACAGCAGCCATGTCTTTTTAAATATATTTATATAAATATATGTATATCGAATTGTCCTTCGAACGAAATTCAGTCGAAGCAATGTCTTTCAAAGAACAACCACAGCTAAGCATGCGCAGCGCATATGTATCATGATATCATGATTACGAGGCAACGCTAGCAGTCTGCAATTCAAACTATTGTTATGTACGAAGAATGAGGAGCGTCTAGTTTCCATTCCATACTGCTCGACCTGATGAAGTTATTAGTTTACCCTAAACCTAACCCTAACCCTTTACTTGAAATAATTAAGCATACTAATTTATGACTATTGATCATGCAATCTTTTGGTGGTACAAAACTTGAAAATGGCTTTGAAAAAAGCAAACATTTAGTAAACTAAAGCTTTTCGTCTGACACTCTTCAGAGTTTAAAACGTCAGAACATAGATCAAAACTCTACGCTAGGAAATATATATACCCAAACCCAGTTGTGGATAGAAATAGGCCAATCAGAAAACACGAGCACATGACTGTTGAGGTTGACCAATCAGTGCTGCTTGCCTATTAAGAATGTTACCAATAGAGTCCTACAGTGAAAACGAACTCCTTTTGTCTACACAGTACGAACTCCAGTCCTAAGGTGAAAACGAACTCCAGTTTTGGAATCTATCTACATAAGCACAAAAACCGCTACTGTGTAGACAAAAGGAGTTCGTTTTTCGTTGACAATAAACGATAAATAATAGAAATATACCTAAATAACTATACCGAAACTTTAATAATAAGAAATATACCGAAACTTTATATTGTAGTAATAAGTCAAACAAATTTTTGTCACTAGCAAAATGGAAGAGGGCTCAAGGGGCGCCTACCCTGTAGGTGCTGCAGGGGCAAGCAGTGACTTAAAATAAAAACTCCTAAGAAACGATTATAAAATCTCATAGGTAACTAGTTTATCCCCTCTTCTTATGGTAATTTCCATTAGAAATTCAAAGAAAATAAAAAAATCCCTCCTTTTTGCTGTCGGCCTTTCATATTGGAAAATGTCCCCCCCCCCTTCATATAAAATTGATTTTGGTAGTGAAAAAAAAATTCTACGTTTTGCCTCTCGATTAAAATCTTCACAGCTAGAGCAGGTCGCAGAGCCTTAAAACTTTCGAATGGCGGCCTCTGATTGGCTGGATCACAGAGCTGAAAGATCCGCATCATGAGCTAGAGTACATTTCACCAGAATCTGAGGAAAGAAGGATCTGAAAGAAGGAAAGAAGGGTGCGATGGCAAACTTCACAGACACAAGTGTAGATTTTTTGAAATGGTATATTAGAACAGACCTATAAAAAAATTCCTGAAAGCAGGAGGTTTGCTTGAAAGCAAGAGACCGAAAGAAGAACTCTTAAATTGGGAGACTCCCGCCCAAGTCGGGAGACCCCGCCCGAATCGGAGGAATTGGAACCTTTGCCTGAGGCGAGTAAGAAAAGATCTGTTGAAAATCCACAACAATCTTCAATACGATCCTGAATATTAATTGAACTTCAGATGCTGGGCTCTTCACGTTTGAGAGCTGAAAACAAGATCTCGTCATCGTGCAGTCATAGCCTTTACTCGTAACTTCAAGTCGCCTTATGGGGAGGGGGTCTTTGAGGGGTATCAAATGCCGTGTTTCCGCAAGAAAATTTTCCTATTACCGTAATTCCCCAAAAATATTTTCATATTACCGTAATACCGGGTCTTCAAAATGAAAATTACATTATCTCATTTAAGATTCGAGTAATTTCTAGGAAAATCGCCAAGAATCAAGCACGTAATATAAACAGGGAAATAGCTGCGAAAAACCAACAAATTGCCTGATCTCAATTTTTCTTCGGATTTCTACATTTCAATGGCTAAAGATCGATTTTCCGAGATGGGCCATCGCGAATTATTTTTAGATTGCACGTGATTCGTGACGTCATAAATAAAAAAATAATTCAATAAGAAAGCTAATATCTCTTGTAATAAACGTCTTATAACAAAAATAATTGCATATTCGGATAGCTCTAAGAAGGAGCTTTATTTTGATGTATAACAAATTCTATTTTGCTGATATAAAAAAGTTGACTGATGACGTCATCAAACCAAAAAAGGCCTTTTACCAGCACTGTTTCGCAGAATTCTCATTCTTGGACTGTTAATTGTCCTTTCTTAAGATATTCTATCACTCTCTGATAGAGAAACACGCCCATTGAGTAGGTAAACCAAAAATTTATTCAATATCTCATTGATTGACGTTTCTTTGATGACGTCATATACATTAATTTCTCAAAACGGTAATAATAGTACTTCGGTAGGAGGCGTTTTTAAATCACTCTATTGCCCCTGAAGGTCTTCTAAAGAATATTCACTGCTCCTCTCAATCAGGATGTAGCAGTTGTCGGTGCTCTTGCTTCAAGGGTAGTTTTTAAATGTTCATCAGTTTGTGGTTGCACTAACTGTAAAAATTGTGAGAGGGAAACCGAATGCAGCGAAGATAGCGATGATGACCATAATGACAAAAGTGGGAAAGACAGCGATAGTGTTGATGGACTTTTTGCTTCCTAAATACAAATATTATGTAGAGACCATTTCCTTTCAGATTTTTGCAGTTTTAATTACTTCTACAAATCAATAATTATATAATTTCCAAAATTAATTTTGACAAGTGTGTTCGCGATTTCTAAAAATATTTCAAATTTTGATAGTGACCATACCGTTTCCCACCCTAGCCAGTGTGTAAACAAACTGAAATCACTCCGCTTGCCAAGATAAAACATTGCAATTGTAATTATACCAGTAGGTCTCCTGTCCTTTTTAACTGTTGCAGTACTTTGTCAAATTGCGCCCACGCAGGGGCTTCACTTTTAATTTAGCGTAATCAAACCATATCGGAATTTTTTGTGTGCTTTTAAAGCTATGTTACGACCCAATGTGTATCGATCATGTTAATAGGAGTATGGAACACCTGTTCTACTTGGCCAAAAGCAATTGTGTCGCGATTTTAATTTTTTGATGACGTCATCGTAGTATCGCATTTCATGCAAAAATTGCTTAGTTCCATGGTTTGTGCAACGGAATTGGTTTTTAAACAAGATAGAGTTTCTCATCCTATGGCCTAGAAGTAGAAATTGCCAGCGTGATCTTGGGCTGGATGGAATATATTTCTGAATTAATTCTGATTTCCTTTCATTTTAAGTGGTACACCAATTTCTATGGTTACACCCTTGGTTGATATTTGTGCCTCATCTAAAAACCCTACTAAAAAGACAAGTAGCGCTTGCCAGAAAACTAAGACACTGTGAACGTGGCTATTTGGGTCAAAATTTCATGGAATAGTTTTGCATATTTGGGTCTAAATTTGCTTTGACTGTAACCGGAAGCGTGACTTTAAGAAGGGAGACGACTATATACGGTTTAAATATCTATTATTTGTGGATGATATAAGGTGCACTGTATAAATTCCTGTAGGTTTTCAAGCTTGTGTTTGCAAGATGAAGATTATGTCATTGATGACTCTTTTCCAAAATATTCGACTACGCCCCATCGGGGCATTGCTCAACATATGTTGCTCTATTGTTGTCATGAATATTTTGGCATAATTTAGGGCAAAGGGATTCCCCATTGCGGTGCCTTAAGGGAGGTTAATAAAATTTACAATTAGACTCCTTTTTTATAAGAACCAGTAAATTGAGATTCAGGCGGGTTGTTCTTAATTTTTTTCGAAAAACTGTTGTTCTTAATTTGTTCTTAAATTTATAGGGTATAAGCAGTGCCATCGCTAGCTTTTCGCTCTAGGGAGGTGTCCAGGCCTCATTTGTCAAAAAAGTGGATGAGAAAACCTTCATTTGTGGCCATGTTTGAATATTAAATATGCACGTTGCGTGTGGTACTTTATCCAGAATAACGATAATATAGTTAGCAAATAAATTTAGTACCAGAATGAAAATATAATAGTTTGATTGTTAAAAACACGACTTTTCGAGCATGTATTCGTTATCAAGTTTGAACATTCACCGAAAAAGCATCCCAAGGTAGCAAAAAACTCCTCGTTTTTGAGATGAAATTTTACTGGAAATTACATTTTACAGTAGCTCAGCCTTAGTTTGTTCTTAATTTGTTCTCAACTTTTGACTAATTTTGAAGTTAGTGTTCTTTAAAAATTGTTCTTATAAAAAGAGAGTGTAAAGGCAATGTAATTATGTTTAAGAATGAAAATCACCATCTGTTGTATTTTATATGAAGAAGGCTAGTTTCCCCCTGATGATTTTTGATGGCATTGAGGGAAGCTTTGATACCCTCATCTTGTGAAATGCTGGTGTATATATCGAAAGTGTGTTGTAAAAAATGAGCTCATACTCTTTGAATCCAGGATTAGGGGGGTTGCCTCACTCATTAAAAAACTTTATCTTTCTGGTCTCCTCAAGGTTAGGCAAACACATCGGTGAACTAAGGGACACACTGAGCAAGGACCTAACCGGGAGCAACTTACCTTAAGAATAATTTTAATGCTACGGGAACTTGGGGCCAGCTCTCAACATTTCCAACTTTTGCTAGGGCAAAGTGTTTTATGCAGAGCAAATATGCAGCCACCCCCCCTCAGCCCCCAATCCCCGACAAAAAGTATGAAGTGACGCCCTTAGCTCCAGCGAATCTGGTTACAGTGATTTTGGATTGTGAGGAAAACGAAGAGGAAAAACTAATTATAAAGAATCCAAAATTGAAACCTTGCACATTTGTAGTTGCAGTTGCTCCGAATTTTTCAACCAGGGGGAACGCCATTTGAAGTGGTGAGAATAAAGAAATTTGGTGTTTATCGGCAAAAGATCACAACATGGATACAACAAGATATCACCGCCAGCATTTCGCTCCCATTTCTAATTTAAATGCTGCATGGTTTAATTCAGAACTGGCAAATACCACACACTGGGCATTGAGTTTACAAAAACCGTTCATCGCCGATTTTTCTCATTACCGAAATACCGCCCAATTTGAAGAAGATTACCGAATTACCGACCGATAAAAAGGCAAATACCGCAATACCGTCAGCCCCAAACATTCCCCGTTATGAAAACTAGCCTGTGCTCCAGACCCCTAATTTCAAAGTAGAGGTCTGGGACACAGGCTAATGAAAACAGGACACATGCATGGTCAGCGGTTTAAATAAGGTCCAATGAATTCGTGAGTTGGGTTCCAAAAGGGTTCTTTTGTTTGTGCTGAAAACAATTGAAGATAATCGATTGCTCCAGGGCCGCCGAGAAGGGGCAAGGGGAGGGGGGAATTGTCCCAGGGCCTCGAGGTGCAGGGGACCTCGTTAAGTAATTAATTATGTTCGAAAAAAGTTAACGAAATTATGCCCGTAAACAGTGAAAGATTTTGAGCGAATGAACGAATTTAAGCTAATTTTAAGGGCGTTGTTGAAACGTAGGGGGCATCGTTTTTCGCTTTTCCCCCAGGGCCTCCAAATTCTCTCGGCGTCTTTGGCTATGGCTACGACAGAGTTCCTTTCTTTACAAAATATAATAAGTTACAAAAGATTACCATGTCTACGACAGGGTTACTTGCTTCAAAATACCATACCTAAAGAGCGCCAAAGGTTGTGGTATTTTAGAGCCCATTTGCCGTTAGGACTAGTAGCCATTTATACGGAAGTAAAGGAAAAATTGATGTTACATGTCTTAGTAAAATTTGATAGGGTTCCAGAACCCTTGAAACCCGGTCTGAATCGGCCAGTGCTGAGACAAACCCAGAGTTTTTCGGGCCCAGTGTGTTCTTTGCATTGAAAAGTAGATACAATGAATACAGGAACGCTAAAATTTGAATAAAATGTGATATATAATTGTAAATGAACAATATCAAGACTATGTGCTTAATTTTACAAAGTTTGATTTCCAATTTTTTCTAAACAGCAACAGAACAAAAAGAACAAAATAAAAAGATGTGATGCAATTAGGATTAATTGCACCCAGAAAAAGTTGACTAATCTTAGCAGTCAATTTTTGTTACTAGGAAAGGTTTTTACCTAATTTCTTTGTCCAAGTTTCTATTTCTTGTGTACTCTGAAAAATGCCTGCATTTTTAGTAACTGTATTGGTCAACTTTCACTAAAAATTCTCTTCTATGTGCCTTGTGCCTCTTAAGTTTCATCATTAATTTGGTTGTCCACAAAATAACACTTCTTTTTTATAAAATTCCACACCTTGATCCATTAGAAATACACACACAGTTTGCCACATACAAAATTTATCTTTGTGCTATTTTTGTCTGCATTACCCAATGTCAATTACTAGTGTTGCTATGCGAGAAATGTTTTAAAGCACCTCTCCAGTAAAAAAAAATTTTTTTTATTGACTAAAAAGTTAGCATCTGGTGCGTGTATTATGGCAAAGTCGTTGTTTTTGCAAAATTCCAATTATTTTAGAAGTTATAAGGCTTTAAAGTTGCACCTTTCCGAGAAAAAAACGACAAGAGCCGAATCAGTTTGGTGACATTCTGACGTCACAGTGGGCGGCTCTCGTTCGCCATGAATTTCGTACATCTTCCACCGAATCGTGAAGGAGTCATGGTCACGCGTTGATAACTGCATCTAAATCTACAGCAGGAGCTTTTTAGGATCGAAAAATACTAAATGTTTACAATCATTCTAAGTTTGCTGGTCGGCATGTGTCCATGCTGTGTCACGACTTTGTTTTGACCACCTGTGTAGGCCCACAAAGCTACGGCTTCTTGTTCCAGCTCTTCCCTCGCGTATAATTAATCGAAATTGACACTTCAGTTGTTCTCCAGAAACGATGAACAACTAAAGGCTTCAGAATTGATATCTGAAATGCTCAAACTAAAAGCCGGTCCAGAACTGAGAGTACCATCACTTGCAGTGTTCAATTTGCGAATCGCCGTCGTTCGATTCGGTTTGAGGCGAGACTAACGAAACACACTGTGACTTCAAAAGTGCGTCACAGTGTCACCAAACCGAACAATTTTTGTCGGTTAAATCAATTCAATTATCGAATTGCAAGAGCTTATATCGTACAAACTGTGAAAAATATCGAAAATCAAATAACGAATTCTTGTCAGCAGGTTCATCTCCTTTAGATTAGCCAATAAAATGCAAGTGCAAAATTTGGCTGGAGAGGCCTTTAAAGTTGCATCATTGCTGTTTTTATTCAGTGGTGGACATTTTGGCAATATTATGAGAAGAGACAATCCTATCGTTTTGATAAGATGACATCACATTTGTCCATTTTTGTAATAAAAGACTATTGTCTTCTCAAAATATTGGGGGCAACTGCCTTCCTTCACCCCCCTGGGTATCTACCACTTTTTTTGTTTCTATGCCCCTCTTAAACTTACGATAGTTTTTTAATCATTACACCTCTTAAACACCGAAATCAATTTGTTGGATGTTTCCGGGAAATGGGCGTGACCCGTTAGTCATAATGGGTTTTGAGAATGTAATATTTTTGTCTGGATTCTATAGGTCGGGAGTCAAAAATGACTTTGGGAACCATTTGGATCAGGGTTTCCAATGTTTTTCATAGGAAGCTGACCCTGGAAATACTTCAATTGTTTTTGGTGGCCATATATCTCTGTGAAAGTTGTGTCCTTTTACTCAGGTAGCTTTTCCTTTTGCATTTAAGACAACATTGGCTATGAAATACGCATATTTTATCAAATTGTGCTGATATTTAGAACAATGTGGTGTAATACTTTGATAGTGCAGTGTAGGCAAAGAGTTAAAATAATTATATGTTCGATATATCTAGTAAAATCCTGTTAAATTAAATTAAAGTATCGTTATTTTGTATGGAATCTCAGAAAATCTAATGTTCGAAAGTCACTACCGCACAACAGAAACAGAACAGCCATAGCCTTAGGGAAATCAAGTGATAATTCCTGCATTGCCTCTTAATATTCATTCGAAGTTTAATCTAAGGATCTTTTTACGTAGATGTGAACTTTCTGAATTAGAATAGAAGACACTTTTTAGATTTCTAAGATTTTTATTCTGTAAAGCTCTATTCTTGGACCTTGTGTAGAAAATCTGCTTTGTTGTATTATTTAAATCATTTGTTCTATAATGTTATTAGGTTTGAGCGAGCCTTGAAACAACATAGTTACAAAGGAAATAAGAAAACTCACAGGAACATCGGCTTCAAAATAGTTTTATAATTATTTGAATCAACTTTCTTTTCAAATGAAGCACAATCAATTTTCGTAGGCAGATTGAGCATGAATCAAAAGGATAGAAGATCATTATTTTTGCAAATTTCATGCAATGAAAGTTACTTAAGCAGCTTTGCTTCTTTTTGCCTTTTTCTTTAGGCTTCTAAGCGTTTTCTTTTTCTTCTTTTTGTTGGAACCATTTGCGACACAGAGTGTAATTCCAACTTTCAATTTGAAATCGCTGGCCAATTGTGGAACTGCATCTGATTCATAACCAGAGATAGACACTTTCCAGTCGGCATAGACAGAGGGATACAAAGCTGTTTTCTCCAAGAGATCCAGACATCTATCTTCCTCCATATTCACCGGACAGATTTCGGGCTTTGATGTATCATAAGGATTTTGAAACGTTTCTTGTCGGCAACCTTCATTGCTACCACCCTCGAGGTATTCAAACTTCAAATTCTTGCTTGGGATGATCGTATATGTTTTGCCATTCGGCACCAGTTGGTTCCTCCCCTCTGATTTTGCTTCAACATTGACTCTCTTTCGTATTCCACTCATAGTTGGCAAGAAAATTTCAAACTTCTTTACCGTGATAACAGAATTCTTATCCCCTCTGTCAACCCACTGATTCTCCACCAACCAGTCGCTATTTGGGATTTTGAACCTTACTTGCTTGGCAGCATACAAATTAGATATGTTGAGGTAAGCTTTGTCAGCTTCTGTTGCTGCACTGATTGGTACTTCCCTAAATCCTACTTTTTCCTGGCAAGGTCTTACTTGACGAGAGACAAGAGTAGCAATATTCGTGTTTAACCCTTGACAAAGATTGGGCCTTGTTCCGCCTTCTTTATACTCCAAAATGTCGCAGTATGCCTCTGTAGCCTGCCAAATGTTGATCTTATACGATATATAGGAAGTCAAGCCCACAACTCTCAATTTGTTGACAGCATTGTTGCTTGAATTCTGCCCAGCAGGGAGCTGCTCGTACCCGGCTGTTATGCTTGAAGCGGCATCAATGGATGTAGCAGCCCTCATATAAGTCGCTAGTGCCTCAATGAGCTCAAACTGAAAATCGTATATCTCTGCATAGGTTTCGATCATTCTCTCTGCAAGCAACTTTGTTTCGGGACATAAGTCAGACGCCCTTACAGTTAACTTGTCTGTTCCAGCAATCAGCGCTTCCGTATTCATAATAACATCACAGGTGGCTTCAATAAGGTCAGTCCAGGTTGCTGTCATGGCTGTCAACTCTGGCCTAGTAACCTTCGGATCATAGGCCGTATAGTCTCTAATGAATTTTTGCTTCTCTGATTGAAAAATGGAGGATGACTCTTCATTTCCAATATTATCGACGATTTTTTTTACAGACTCAAGAAATTTGGCATTATCTTGAAACTTGCCTGATATTTCAACGGTCTTTTTTGTTAGTCGATCAAAAGAGCGTTTCACATGGACAAGCTCGCCTGCTTTAGTCATTGAATCGAGCAGTTTGGCACTGCGATCCATAAGATCACCCGCGCTTGTCCCTTCGAAGAGCTTCTCAAGAGGATTTAATGCCACAGCAGTAGCTAGACCAACTTGAACGGTATCTTCAGCTATCTCCAGGGTGATAGCCGTGATTGCTCCATTTATGAGGTCATCAGTGTTTGTCCCTAATTCTTTACTCAGTGTCGAAACACTTTTCCTAAACAATTCTAACCTTCCATTAACGAAATCTACATCAGCACGTGCTTTATCTCTGTTGAAGCTTTCAACCTTTTGGAAATACGTTCTAACGCCTTTAAATCTGTCGTTGATTGTTTTAGTGACTTCGCTGTTAAGCCAACTAAACAGTGGGGGAAGGGAATTTTCTTTGTCTTCGACAATATGCAATATTCTGTCAACTTCAGTTAGCTCTAAAAATGTTTTATAATCAATCCTGGTATTAAGGATTTTTGTCACGTGTCCATGATCAGACGCAACTCGAGACTTGAGGAAAAGCCTTATCTGAGCAACTACTCTGAAGAGGGTGCAGAGGTTCTTTGTTTGGTCAGACTGGTTGCCGACATTAGCTCCACAACCTTCTTTTATCGTTGTTAAATCTGGTGACAGAGATATGAGCTCTGTCAGTGGCTTCATTTGTTCGTTTCTAACACATCTAAAGAATGTT